AGGACCCAGACATGGGGCAGAGGACAGACGGAAGACTATGAAAATGTAGGAAGAAGGTGGCCATCTACAAGCCAAGGAGTCTACAAGCCTCAGAAGAAACCAGGCCTGTGACACTTTCATCTCAGACTTCCAGCTCCTAGAACTGAGAAAATTAGTTCAGTTGTTTAAGTCACACAGTGTATGGTACTTTGGCGCTGTGGTACCTCGCAAACTCATACAGATTTTGAAGAGGTTAGCCCTTATCTTCAATCATTGAATGGGTCTCACTGAGAGAAGGGGTTTGATACGCAGGAGAATGTGCTGTATAGGAAAGAGCAAAGGGCCCTCCAGTGTTTCCTTCTCTGTTTCTCCCAGTTTTGGGGACTTCTGTCAAAGCTGAGACTACGCACTGGAAAAATGCAGCCTTTGGCACATAGTAGGTGCCCAGATAAATATATGGGATGTTAGACAGAGTTTGACTGTGACTGTGTGTTATTAGTAATAGAATCGCACCTAAAAAAATTATGTGACTTCTACATTTCTATCAGCAAAATTTCAATGTATTGGATATGTAATGAGTCATTTCTATTTGTGTAATTCAGGCAAACTGAAACGTATCCCATTGTAAATTCTACTGAAATATGGTAGCCCTTTGATGTGAACAGTCCTCACTCCTTTGTAGATTGGATTATATCAGATATTCACTCATTTCTGCCAGGTCATGGGAAGAGTATGTACCCTAGAATTATATCACACATTGTATTTTGAGAGGGCAAATTGATTTTTCTTTGGAACTGGGCATTCGTCAGCATTTGTCCCTCAGGAGCAGTGTCACCTCAGGAGCATTTGTCCCTCAGGAGCAGTGACATCCTGAGTGATTGATTCCAGGGCTTCAGAAATGAGTTCAAGTTCATGCTGTTCATTAGTCGTCTTCCCTCATCCATTCACATCTGATAGAGTAAAAAATCATGGCTACACTTGCCAGGCCCCATTTAATGAAACGGTGACTAGTTCCTTTTTTTTTTTTTTTAATACTTTAAGTTCTGGGGTACATGTGCAGGCCTTGCAGGATTGTTACATAGGTACATACATGCCATGGTGGTTTGCTGCCTCCATCCCCCTGTCACCTACATCAGGCATTTCTCCCAGTGTGTGATGCTCCCCTCCCTGTGTCCATGTATTCTCATTTTTCAACACCCACCTATGAGTGAGAACGTGCAGTTGTTTGGCTTTCTGTTCTTGTGTCAGTTTGCTGAGAATGATGGTTTCCAGATTCATCCATGTCCCTGCAAAGGACATGAACTCATTTCTTTTATGGCTGCATAGTATTCCATGGTGTATATGTGCCACATTTTCTTTATCCAGTCTATCATTGATGGGCATTTGGGTTGGTTCCAGGTCTTTGCTATTGTAAAGTGTCACAATGAACATACATGTGCATGTGTCTTTATAATAGAATGATTTATAATCCTTTGGGTATATACCCAGTAATGGGATTGCTGGGTCAAATGGTATTTCTGGTTCTAGATCCTTGAGGAATCGCCACACTGTCTTCCACAATGGTTGAACTAATTGACACTCCCCACGGTGGCTACTTCCTTATCCCGTCCTCTGGGCCTCTAGGTTCTTCTGGAGGGACGCACAAGCCTGCAGCCCCTCAGCACAGCCTGGAGGCATCCCTCAGCATGCAGGGCCCTGGGCTCTGGCTGTGGCTTCATCCTTGCTGAAGGATGTATTTCCCATCCTTGTTGTTCCAGGATGAGATGTCATTCACTCATTCCCAGCAACATACCCCTTGTGGATACCAAGCTCAAGGCTGTCACGGTGTCCTGAGCCTGGAGGAGAGGTACTCTCTTGATACTGGAGACCACAGTACGAGGAGGCCCCACAAGAACCACCCCTGTTTTCTTCTTGCTCAGCAGCTGTGGAAGCCAAGGCCCTGTCCAAGGTCCTGTACCCAGTATGAGAGTCCCGGCTCACGCTAGACCCCAGGTGGCCTGAGTCCTAGGCTGGCATCATTCCCACCATATCCATGCAGAAGAATCATCTGGGAACTGGTGAAAGATACAGATTCTAGGCTTTATCCATATAGATCCTGATGTATCAGGGTCCAAGGAAGGAGAGGTCTAGAAATCTGCATTTTTAACATGTGCTCGCCACCAACACACACACACACACACACACACACACACACACACACACACATTCTCTCTCTCTCTGTCTCTCTCTCTGTCTCTGTCTCTCTGTCTCTGTCTCTCTGTCTCTCTCTCTCTCTCCCTCTCTCTCTCTCTCTGTCTGTCTGCCTCTCTCTTTCTGTCTGTCTGCCTCTCTCTCTCTGTCTCTCTCTCTCTCTGTCTCTCTCTCTCTCTCTCTCAGTAGTTTCTCTGCAGACAGAACCAGGTGCAAACTTTGGGAAACATGGCCCTATAAAATAAAGTGGGTCTTTTTTTTTTTCTTCAAAGAGCAGTGTCAAAGAGTTTCTGCTGGGTATGATTGCACTCCTTGTAGGGTAGACAGGAACAATTATGATCAGAACGCAATTTAACTCTAATGGGAGGGACTGTGTACCAAGAAAAATAGGCACCAGGTGCACTTCAGCTTTCTCATATATAAACTACAGCCATAAAAACTGCTGCAGGGGGAAGGGATTCAGGATGCCGCAGAAGCGTTGGGGCTTCAGGCTGGAGTCACACTGGAAGCTCTATGATCACCGATGCCTGGGCCTCCCTGCCCAGGAATTCTAATGTAATCGTTTGGGAATGAGGCCTGGCCATTGGGGTTTGGACAAGTTCCCAGGTGACTGATGTAGCCTGGGCTGACAATTGCTGGAAAGGAAGCCCTACCTACCAGGACTTCCAGCAGAGCCAGCCTCAAGGAAGCAATGTATGATATGAACTGGAAGTCTGAGGGACCCGTTGGGCTAAAGAGAGGGCTAAATGTCCCCTTTCGTGACTCAGTGCTACTGCATGCCATTGACCTTTTTTCTTTAAAATAAAGCCAGAGGTATTTTGATTTTTTTTCATTTTAAACTATTAATTTTTAATATGCTTGGCATTGTAATTAGCACAGGTTATACTATCATGCACAAAACAGGAGCTTGCCATTCTAATGGATATGATGGGTTAGGGGGACGGGCAGAGCAACGACAAATTAAAACATGAGATTTTAGCACAAGGAAATAATATAGAATAATGTAAAATATGGTGTGCGATGAAAGAGGATAACTTGAAAAGGATACCAGTTACTTGGAATTTATTAGGGAATGCTTTGCTGCATTGGTTTTTTTTTTTAATGACGTAAATTTTAAAATGACTCTCCTGTCTATTTCTTCTTTTTCACTCATCTCTGGGTATCTTTTGAATGTACAGCTTTCCATATATCTTTAAAAAACACATATAATGTGATAGAGGTTGTCATGCAAAATAAGCCAACCCCCTTCCCATGCCCGACTCTCAGGGCAGAAACCCCTCAGGTGGCTATGATCACTCACACTGGTCCTCCCGCAGCCACGTGGACTTGCAATGCCCAATGTCCAGCTTGTGGGAAACATGCAATTATTTGAGTCAGCAAATATTAGTCCTGCCCTGAAGAAAATAAGAATGCTCCCATGCTTGCTGTCACGTCTTGGAATAAGCAAATACCCCGCTTCCAACATACACAGGCCCTCTCCTTCCAAAATGTGTTGTCTGGAGAAGACCAGCAGTCTCACAACTTGCCTGTGTTTTTCAAAGTATGTGACCCAGATCACCTACATCAGAACCACAGGGATGTCAGTGGACACGCAGATGCCTGGGTGCTACCCACAGCCTACAGAATCAGTCTCTGGGGCCTGGGGAACTTGCAGTTATAACACCTCAGGCCATTCTCTGCGTGTTGGGATTTGAGAGTTGCTGCGGCAGGTGCTGGGCGTCCGGTTCTGCCCTCAGGCCCCCGGAGCAAAGATTCTCTGCAAGCAGTGGGAGCTTAGTGCTGACATAATATTAATCCAGATCCTGTGCAGCTCTATGTAAGGATTCATTTTAAGCATGTACCATAATGAACATCTAAACGGGGGCCAGGACCCTGTTAGCATTCAAGTGCTGGGGTATAGTCCATCTTCCGTGTCATATTTTGTAGTGCTTCATACATAACCGTAAGAAAAAATAAGGACAGAAGAGATTCTTCTTTCTGGTCTTGACCTGGTTAGATGCTTTGTTAAAAATCATGGCATACTCTTTTGGACACACGAGCAATGTACTCTTAGGACAAACAGTCTGCTGATTAGGAAAAGTGAAACACCTCGATCATTTACAAACACTGGACAAAAAGTCATGCTTATGCAACTGTTCATGCAAGTGCAGCAAAGCTACATGTGTCTTGGTCCAATGTCCCTGCCCCCTAATTCTGATGAGTGAAATCAACTGATTGTCACAGTGTTGGTCTGGGCAAACGTAGGCATTTGCTTTCTATTATTTTGCTCTCTGGTCTTTGACTTCCATGATGCCAAGCAGCAGGGAGCAACTGAATTAGAGTCTAAGCCAGCCAATGTAGAGGACTGCTAGGGACCGAGGTGGTGAGGAGGCTCCTGGTAACCACTGTTGCTATTTCCTTTCAGGAGTGCTGACTCATCTCCACATAAACCTGTGGCACCAAGTTCCAGCCCACCTCTGTAATTCTGTCTTTCCTCTCCATTGAGGATGTGAGCCTGTACTCAGGGACTCCTGGGCTGGGTGGGGGTAGTTTTCAGGATTAGATGATCCCCACTGACACATCATTAGGTAAATTAAGAATAGATGCCCAGCAGAGAAAGCCAGTTCACTACTCAGGCCAATGTTTCCAGAATGTATAGCTTGTCATAAACATCTAGTTTTCCTGCCCTTCCTGCCATCTCTGACCATCGAGTGTGCAGCGAAAAGCCTCAGACAAGACATCTGAGTGTTACGAACCAAGTGCTCCAGCATCCTGGTGGCCTCTTGCAAGCAAGTTTCCTGCCTGTGTTTCGATAGACTGCTTGAATAATCGGGATCTTTTTCTGTTTGCAGGAGACCCTGGCATCACAAAACACAAAAATGATTTCATCCATGGTAATGTCCCAGATGATTGATGAGAGTAAGTCAAGAGAAAACAGGGCCTCCTTGCCCCTGCAGTGTGCGATGGCTCAGTCTCGCGGACGTCACACCAAGCCATCTCTGGCTAATCGCAGTGGAGTCAGCATTCACAGAGCGTTTCCGTTCCTTCCGGGCACATTAGGAATCCCAACACCGTCAGATGAGCTAGGACCTGGGACGGAACTGCCACCCAAAGAGGAGAGCCCCTGTGAGGGCCCCCACAGAGGTTTTGCGTCCATCACCATCACGGCCAGGCGCGTGGGCACCCCAGCCAGCGCCCTGGTGTGGGGGACTGTTGGGGACTCTCTGTGTCCCAAGTGCAGGGCTGAGGACACTCTGTTCCGGGCACCCCCAGCTCTGGCCAATGGCCCCCATCCAGGCCGGCACCGGAGAGCTTTTGCCTGCACAGAGTTCTCCAGAAACAGCTCAGAGGTGCGGCTGAAGGTTCCTGAGGCCCCCACAGGGTTGTGTGAGAGACGCGAGGCCTGGGTCACCCATGCGGATGACAAAGAGACCAATTTTTCTCCAGACACGCCACTGTCAGGAAAGAGCCCGCTGGTGTTCAGTTCCTGTGTCCACCTCAGGGTGTCTCAGCAGTGTCCAACTTCCATCTATTACGTAGACAAGTCTCTCTCCATTCCTTTTGAGCAACCTCAAATTGCCAGCCCCAAAATGCACAGATCCGTCCTGTCGCTCAACCTCAATTGTAGTTCCCACAGATTAACAGCAGATGGAGTAGATGGCATAGTGAACGGAGAGCCAATAAGCACAGCCCCAAAGCAAGAGCTCGAGGAGGGAGACCAGGACCTCCTAGGCCAGCGCTGGAACCCAGGTTTACAAGAAAGTCACTTGAAGGAAGCCCCATCATTGGGGCGGGTGCATTTGGGGACCGGCACATGTTCTTGGAGTGATTCTTTTCCATTGGAAAACGCGGAATTTGCAGACATGGGAACTAACCAGGTTACTGTAAGAAAAGGGATAAAGGATCATGAGGCTCATTGTCATGCCAGCGGTCATGCCAACCAACTGTCCATTCACATTCCTGGCTGGAGTTACAGAGCAGGTGAGTGGTGCGTCCATCTGCAAGAGGGTGACCTGTGCCAGTGCCCTAGCAAGGTGGCTGTTGAGGGAGATTCTTTTACAAAAGAGGCATGTCTCAGTAGACTTGCAGTGATCTCTGCTCACAGTTGATGACTGATAGCCCAGCATCCAAGTCTGATTGGATAGATTTTTTTTTTTTTTTGGTTGAGACATTTGTAGATTGTAAGAGGTCTTCTGTCGAATTCTTGTTTCCAATAGTTCCAGATCATATGTAATGAGCAGGAAATAATGGCCTCCAAAGGAAGTTAATTTACAGTGTGCCCAAATTGCGTTCCAAGAGAGGGTGAGAAGAAGGAAATGCCATTTACCCCCAGATGTTTCAGCTCTCTCCTGCCAAACATCTGTGTATTTGGAAGTGTCCAGAATTCTGTACTTTTTACTTTTCAAGTTAGCCTCATTGATATAAAAACTAGACCACAAAGCTTCACAATGGAGTGTGGGGGATGTGTGTGTGTGTGTGTGTGTGTGTGTGTGTGTGTGTAGTAATTATAGGACATTTTCTAAATTAGGCAAGTCAGGGACTCTGTGCCAAATAGCAGCAGCAGCAGCAGCAATTTTCTGTCCCCCTGGTTGTGTCTTCTGGGACATCTCGGCCAGTATTTGTTGCTGTTTCTGCCATTTCCAGGGTCGGGCAGAATTCCCAAGGTGGGCTGCTCTGAGGATTCTTCACTTTTTCTGGGAAATCAAAAGAGGAAAGCAGGCCTTTTCTGGAGGAAAAAGGCCAGATTTCTTTGTGTAAATTTCTGATTTTCAACTTTACTTTTCTGTGAGAGGCTCTGGCTTATGAATTACTTTCTATTTGGAAAAAAAAGTTAAAGATATTAGTATATAATTGAAAATGCAGAATATGCGTAATAATTTTATGGTACAATTTTTGTTCATTAAAGCTTTATTAATAAAAATTACTGTAAAACATTTAAAGTTATACTGTATATAGGAATGTTAAATGATGTAATTACTTTTAACAAGTGTATATATATTGAATGCCCAGAGATTTTTAAAGCAATTTTGACATGGCTTTCAGATTGATTAAGCCACTGAAACGCATGTCTTACAGACTCATTACAAGAAGGACAACATAAGCAGCCCTCAGTGTTCCAAAGATAAATCCCACTTTAGTATTTAAAGAGATTGCTCGGGCTAAGTGCTTCATCTTCCTTATTGATGAAGATTCCAGAAATATACCACTGCATTGTTGTATGCTATCTCAGTTAAAGCACATCCTCATTTCTAAACCACATTTCCTGGTATGAAATAATAGGATTTATAGTACTTTTCACCAAAGGCTTTTCATTAATAATGAGAGCCGGATCTCAAACACTCATCTCAGAGGAGGGCAGCAAGAGGGTGGAAAATTCCCCCAAATTACTTTTTGGCTTTGGTCGTGCAGAGAAGATTTTTTGATTGTGATTTTGCGAAATGACTACTCGGCAAGAGATTATCTTAAGCAAATAGTATGAATTCATTCTACATCCTATGGGCCAACATCCCCCAGAAAAAGCACATATCCCAAAGATTCACAGGTGGAGCGTTTGAGTGGCTCTAGGCCACGGCGCCTCATTCTATCACTTGAGGAAAGAGATACTCACAGAGACCAGAGGAGTCTTAAATGCCCTTTTTAAAGTGTCAGTAGCTTTGGGGGTACAAGTGGCTTTTGGTGACATGGATGAATTGTACAGTGGTGAATTCTGAGATTTCAGCGCACCCGTCACCTGAGTAGCGTACATTGCACCTAATGTGGTTTTTTTTAATTCCTAGACCCACCTCTTATCCTCCCTTTCTGAGTCTCTAAAGTCCATCACGTCACTCTGCACGCCTTTGTGTACTCCTAGTTTAGCTCCCACTTATGAGAACATTCGGATTTTGGCTCTCCACCCCTGTGCTACTTCACTTAGATTAATAGTCCCCAGCTTCAACCAAGTTGCTGCAGAAGACATGATTTCATTCCTTCCAATGGCTTCGTAGTGGTCCATGGTGTGTATGCACCACATTTGGGGAGCCTTTGCGTAGAGTTGTTGCTTTATTATTTCTAGCTCAGTGAATGTGAACACATGACACTCTCTGAGCTCCTCATCTGGGTAACTAGAGCAGGGGGAAGACTGCGTGTTTTTCGAGGTCGCATCAGTCTTAAAAAATTTCAGCTCTATTTGCCCAAGGTGGGCTCTGCAAAGGAAAGAGGCTCCCCATGTGACTCTGGGCCCTTCAGCTGCAAAGTCCAAAGCCACAGATCCCTGGTGCACACAGTGAGGCACTTGCTGCAGATGCCTACAAATGTACACTTTCACCTACACGTGCGCCCTGGCTGTGTGCTCTCTCATTCAGAAACTAATTTCCAGTGGACTGTATTTCTTCTCAGGTGACAAGAAGGCACATCTGTCCATGCTATAGAATTCTGGCCTGAAATTTACCAGCACAGCTCATTGACTCTAACGACCACAGGCTGTCCTCACACAGTCGGCACGATGTTTTGAGGGTGAGCTTGCTGACCTTCAGTCCTGACAAAACCTTTTAGCCTTAATGCAAGTGCTTTCAGACTGCAGCAGCGCTCATTAAAACTCAGAGGAACTGTTTATATTTTCCTGTCTGAAACTGGAATCCTATCTGAGACATTCTTGACAGCCTCCCGTGGTTACACATGCTATTAGCAGTCTTCATACTTCATAGTTACTGAATCTGATGCTTTTTATCTGAAGGATTCCAAAATACCTCATGAGCAGGATCTTCTGCTGGCTGGCTTACTGACATTCAGCAGCTTGGTGGGTGCAACCTGGGAGATTATACAGACAGAGGCAAGGCAATTTTAGTTCTAGTCATCAGGCCATTGGACAGAAAGTTCTACAAATTGTATTCATGAATGAGCCTCTAGGATATGCACCCAAAAGATAAGATTAGGAAAAATGAAACACAAGCACATCATGCAATTCAAATAGCTGTGTCTACTGAGATGTAGCATTCCAAAAGACACGTAGGCACCTGCTCCCATTTCAGGCACTGAAGGTTAAGGAATTGGTTCTCTCCTTGCTCATCTCCTCGGTCCCTGTGTATTTCATCTTTGCATCTCTGTTGTGGGTAAGCATTTGGATAGCACCATGTAGGTGGGCATCGTACAAATCCCGCGTCTATCATAGGATTTAATCCCCATTCTTGTCATCACCGCCATCATCTTCATCATTATCATGATCTTATTCATAACCACAGCATATGTTGTAGAAATCCTGGGCACCAGGCCCTGGGCTGCATCCATTAATTTGAATTATTCAACCATCTACAAAGAGTTCGCTTATTTTTCAGACAGCACAAAAGGAGGCTTGAAGATCAAATGATTTGTCCAAGTCCCCGTGGCCACCTGGTTCTAGAGGTGTGTGCCCATCTCCTGCTGTTCCGTTCTCAGTGACAGCCCCAGGCAGAGCAGTTAAGATGGTGGAGACTCAGTGGCTGGCCCCACCTCCACTGCCGCTATCAGAGGTGATATCTGAAGACTGCTTATGCACATCTGGAGTGATACTAGTATTGGGTTGCCAGATACCCCAGTAGGTTATTAGGAGAGTGACCTCCAAGTTAATTTGTGATAAAATGTAATAAGCCTTATCGTTCGATGCAGTTAAAATGTATTGGCTCAGAAATCCTTCTCAGCCTGAAATCCTGTTATTTGTGGTGGTCTGTGCACTATGCAGTGTTGGTCCGAATGGTTCCCACCTCACCAGATGTGCATGCCTGCCTCACTGTTGACTTAGACACATTTCTTACTGCCAGTTTTATGCATCTGTGGATTAAATCTGAAGCTTTTCCCCATTCCTGAGATATTCGAGTGGAGGGAACAAAGTCTTCCAACCATGGTAGATGCTACGGAAGAAGAGACCGGTGAACACACCGTCCACACCTATTTGCGTTCGTGTTTCGTGGTGGTGCTGGAGCTGTGTACTTGTCTTGCAACGCCCTTAGCCAGTGCACAGGCTTTGGTGGCATTGGTTTGAGATGTCCTCAGTGGAGTTTAGCATCACTAGTGAATAAAGATGTGGATGGCTGGAAGGCAGAAATCCCTGCCAGTTCTCCAAATGAGCACTGTGTGTACTTGCCCTTAGATGGTGTGGTCCACCATGTTAATAAGGAGACCTAACCCCCTCTGGGTTTCCTGAGGCTGATGCCTCTACCCTGCAGATCTTCGCCACTAGATGCAAAGCTTACACCACTCAAGGGCAGGTGACAAACCATGTACATACAAGCCAAGCCTACCCGTAGGGGAAAAGCCTGCGGTAGACTCATACTCTCATCCCATGAGGACTTTTTGCTAAACGGAACAGAAGATATTTTACAAATGTGATTTTTTTTAATGATCTAGAATTGGGGTGAGCAACCTTTTCTTTTTCCCTTTTTTTGTGAAGGGCCCAGTTGAAAATATATGTTTGGCTTTGCAGGCCATATGGTTTCTGTAGCAGCTACTCAACTAACTACTCAACAGTCTTCAGATACCACCTTTGATAGTGGCAGTGGAGATGGGGCTTGCCACCAAGTCACCACCATCTTACCTGCTCTGCCTGGGGCTGTCACTGAGAAGGGCACAGCAGCTGACAACTTGCTGTTGTACTGCAAAATCAGCCATTGACAATGCATAAATATGTTAGTGTGGCTGTTGCCAATAAAACTTTACTTACACTAACAAGCAGTGGGCCAGATGTGGCTTGTAGTCTATAATTTACTGACTTCTGGTTTAGTTTTCAAATAAATCCATCCCCCAAGGTAAACTTTACTCTGTTCCCTGGTGTTGCATGTTGGATTCACTAGAAATCAGAGTCTGAGGTGGAGATGAATGGGCAGGGCATTTACTGGTGAGCATTCTTAGATACGACATCCATGAAGGGAAGCAGGGCTGGGCAGAGGGATAAGGTGTTCTGTGGTGCAGTCATAAGGAACGCCTCTACCAACCACTTAGGGAATTCTGACCTTGGGCGAGACAGCTCTTTT